TGATTTCATAAAACTGGACCCGGGAGCACAATGTATATATTTATGCAGGTTTTTAAAAAGTTTATAACAGTCTGTTTGGCCATTACTACACTTTTTACTTTATAATATAAAACATGGGAGGCAAAGAGGATTTTTTCTGTCATATTAAAATGAATGTTTGTCAAGCTACATTCTTCATTGCTTTAAATGCAATAAAGATAATACTCACTTTTATATAAATAATATATTTCACAACTTTAATACTGCAGAATCTGCTTGAAGGATCCCAGCAAGCTCTCTCATCTGCAGCTCTGTATAAAATATTTAAAAACAAAATGTTGTATGGTGTAAATAAACTTTTGTCTACATATGTTTTACTTGTGCCAGTTTATTTTAATGAGAAAAAAATGCCAACCTGATCAAAAGTTATAGCGAAAAATGTTAACATTTGAAAAGGAATGTAAATAAAAGAGGAAATATGTTCGTACTGCTTCAGAGGTTGTGTCAAGTTTATGTGGTTTGTTGATTGTGAAATGCACTACTCACCTTGCTAGATGAAAGGGAACATTTAATGCTGTATATGAGCACAAATGATGAGCATGTGACTGGAACAACTGCATGTCACTGATGGAAAACTGGATTTCTAAGATAATTTGACAGTTTTTACATTACAAAGCATGACTTTCTCTTGGACTTTTGCCTAACATCCAGACTGCATTATCCAAAAAACACTTGGTTAAAACAGTTCACCTTAGTACTTCACGTACTCTCCTCTGATGATTAATTATTATTATTTTTTATCTAAGGTTAGTAAACCCCCTCTATGATTTAAATTTCACCTCTAAATGTTTTTGAAGATTATAGTGCTGCAAAGTTTCCTGACTCACCTCATAAATCCACCCCTGTATCTGATTTCTGAATATGGATACAAAGTGTTCAAGCTTTTAACAGGTTTCTGTGCATCCAGAAGACTTCACCTAATAAGATCAGCCAAGATTCTTCTGTGCAGACAGAGCCAGACAGAGCCCAAATGGGAAGGAGGGTGTGAAGGCTCAGAAAAAAAAATCTTGTTTGTTCTGTCTGGTGGCCTGCGGTATGGCTGGCACTCTGGCAATAGAAAGCATCGGTATGTGTCTTCCCCTCCCGGGGAGCAGCGGTCCACCCAGCAGGAGAAGAGGAAGAGAAGGAGGAGGAGTAGGTGTTTGTTGGACTTGCACCATCAGTGAAAAATGGCAACAGGATGAGAAAGTGGGAAGCAGACAACAAATAGGTTTCTCTGATGTCATCACAATATAAACTGATTACAGAAAGAGCTCAGTCTAGACATTAACATCTGAATTTACAGAGCTTTGCCATTTAGACGACCAGGTTGGTTAATTATATTCATTACTGCTGCCTGATGGAGGCTGAGTGGGAGATTTGTTTTTCATTCATGTTCCAGCCCCCACCTGAGTGAAGTGCCTTTAAAAACATTGTCATATCACCACTGGTTTCTTTCCGTGTTTCATATTTTTCATAAAAAGACTGATGGTAAAGGAAGACTGTTTATCTTTATAAAACAAGATACATTTTAAACGAGTGATATTGGACCTGTATTTTTAGGTATGGGGGGGTTATGAGATGGCAGAGTATTATTTTGAATCAACAAAAATATTTTGAACCTGCCACTGCTGGAACAGTCTCACTACATCCTTAGGGATACCTGGTTTAGGGACATCAGTTTTCATGTATCATCATCATCATAGCACTGTTTATTAGTCAGTGTAAAATAACAGGCATGTTACTGAGAATTTGTTTTATTTAAAAACCACTGGCAGCCTAAAATAACATTTTTACTCTGAACACCAATCAGCTGTGTTTGAGAGACTGTCACATGGTACAAGTACAGAGTGTACTGTACACTTCAAGATGCAAACCACCAAAGTCGTGCGTAAAACATCAAGGGTTATCACAAGTTGTTAAATGCATGGCTGACAACCTTTTATATTTTTTTCCCTACCGAGTGAATATCATTTAGAGAAAGATGAAAACAGACACTTTCCAGTGTCTCCAGAGATAATTTATGTACTAATATGACCTAATGGTATTCAAATGAAAAGCATTCAGTATGTATGAGATCAAAGTTCTTCATCAGTACTAATGGGGGAATAATGTCACTATCAGAATAATGTGTTGTGAAGTAGCTCACCAGCTAGTGAGCATGAAAAACGTTAAAGTACAAGTAAACAATATGTAAAGGCCTATTTTATGTTGTCTAAAATGCTCTTTGTGATATTATTATAATCTTCCCTTGTCAAAAACGAAGCTTTAAAGGCATTTGGGTGAGTAAAACACTACAGACTTAATGATCAGATCAGTTTATGGTTTTCTCTATGGTTATGTACTAGGATCTAAGAAAAATAGTTCCTATTGTGTCGGGGGAAACCCACTGCCACCTTTATTTTTGCACTCTAGATATTTTAATTGGCACCATCTGCAAACAAGTCTCCAAGCTTATTAGTGCTATTATATACATTCTATGCCACCTTTAGTTTAATTGTCCACAATGAAATGCAAAAATAAAAACTTCAAAAATCATTCAATATGTACATACATACTTCACAGGCTGTGAACTCTTGCTTGAGCTTAATCTTGTAGCAGTTAATGACTGATAAGACTAAGATTATGATGATGACTTTTGATACTTTAATATTTCACACCTCTGATCCATCCATGCATCCACTTTCTATACCGCTTAGTCCCAAATGGGGTCACGGAGCCAATCCCAGCCAGCTGTGGGCGAGAGGCGAGGTACACGCCGGACAGGTTGCCAGTCCATCACAGGGCAAACACACAGATGAACAACCACTCACAATCACTCCTACGGGCAATTTAGAGACACCAATCAACCTAAGCTGCATGTCTTTGGACTGTGGGAGGAAGCCAGAGCACCCGGAGAGAACCCACGCAAGCACGGGGAGAACATGCAAACTCCGCACAGAAAGGCCCTGGGTTGGCCCGGGCTCGACCCTGGAACCTTCTTGCTGTGAGGCAACCACCGCGCCACTGTGCTGCCCCACACCTCTGATATTTAATTTAAAAAATCTATGTATTAGAATTAAGTTTTTTTTATATAGAAATTCCAGATTTCATAATGAAAATGTGGATGCTATAATGTTGACAAAATGTCTTGTCTGGCTGAAAATGGAACGCTGTATTATTTGTTGGGACATTGTGACAAGCCTGCTGGACAAGTCTTCATTTGAGAATGAGTGACAGGTGTCATGGGCCCATAAGAGCTGGGAGACTAAGTAGCTTAGGGCTGTAAACAGTGAATCAACACAATCACCTTGATTCTGCGTCACTCTCCTCCCTGGAGGCATGACTGAGGGGTAAGGCAAACTGTTGGTCTATCAGGAGCTTGTCAGAAGAGTTAAAGCCTGAGGAAAGACCTGGGGTCCCCCAAGATCACAGAACCCATCCCAGCAAATGTTGTGGAGGACATAATGAAAGAGGAAAAGCGGTGTTGTGTTTGTGGCTCAAAAAGTTCACCTCCATGAATTGTAACAACTTTGGCAACTCTCTACGGTCGTGCTGCGTTCACGTCACATCATTGAGTGTTCACGTCAGCCTGCGACTTTCAACCCCCAGTCATAGATATTGGGAATTACATTATATAGGGAATCTGTCCCACCTGGTGAAGTACATGTATTACAGACATGCTGCTGGATAAACGAGCAACTTTAAAATCTCGTCTGCTTACATCGTGGAATATCCTTGCAACTCTAATACACGGAAACAGATGGCTAAGGCGGTCAATTGAAGATTACAGCAACGGTGCGTACACAAAAACTTTGTCAATTTATATACATTTAAATTTCTGAAAACTTCGGTTTTAATGTATGTATGATTAATTTCAGTGATGTTCACTCATACAAATGGCACAATTTGTACAAAATGTGACAATCAAATGCATCTGTTATGCATGCTCCTCAGTCAACTACAAATACTGTGGCTCCCTGTAAAATGCTTTATTTTCCCAAGCTAATTAATTCAGTTATTCATTCAAATGTGTACATTATTCCCAAACAAACAAGAGGAGCCTGAAAAGTGACACAGGAAGGAAGGAAGAGATGAAACAAAACTGGCTTTCGAATAAGGGGGCCGACAAGAAAAGTTGCACTCTGAACATCACAAATCCTCTGATCTGACATGTTGATCACACAATTTTCTTTGTTGGAGTTCTAGGACTCCATGTTTTTGGCTCAAGGCTCATATGGTTTATTAGTGTATATGGGGGCGGCACATCACAAAATGGCTTAACTCAAAAAACACGGCTTGCACAATAGTTATGACAAGGTATGCACACCACCATCTCTAATTGGACATGCACATACAATTTCATGCAAATCCATCCAAAGTAAACACTGAGTAGATACTCCAAGTATGGATATATTTAACTGTCAGTTTCATTTGATACATGTCCTTTATACTCTAAAATGTAAGTGTCAAAAGCTGAGCCTTGAACAGCAGATTACAGTTTCTCACTCACATATTTCCTGTTATGTACTGCTCAGCTCCTTAATACATTTTGTAAAACTTCACCACAGTGTGATCATATTTCTGTCTCACCTCTTGTTATAGTTGCACAGAAAAGGTCATTTTAAATTATTTTATCATCCTCACAGACTTGGTATTAAAGACATATTTCACAAGACTCAATAGAAACCAAACAAAGAAATGATCAGATATTTCGGATGGTGTACTTGACAGCAGGGAAGAACTAGTTTCGACTCAAACTGGCTCAGCGGCTGCAATGCTCCCCAAACTACGTTTTGTGTGGTGAGGGGTTGCATTAGTTTAAAAAAAAAAAAGCCCGGCTTTATAAATTAGGACTAATTCTGAAGCTTTGAACAAGTGAAGTGACTGATAGCATTTGTAATTCACTGACAATAACATGCATACTTATGTATATACCTCCAACAATGGCACAACAATATGTAGTAATACAAATACAACATGATTAAAAACAGTAACAGAACTAACATATGGCAGCTTGCTTTATTCCACACAATTGTGCCACAAATACTACAATATTAGCCATTCTGGAAAACAGGAAAAACAGCATTTTCTGGGCAAATATGAGGCATTTTTAAAATGGTTTTCTTTCTTTATATGCATCATTCAGTATTGACACCACTTCCACAACAGTATTCCTTTCAACCTGTCACGGGTGAAAGCTGCGAATGCAGCTTCTGCCATCAGTGCCTCAGCACATCTCCAGCTGCTGACTCCACTAATTTCTGAAGCTGATTTCTGTGAGGCTAATTTAGCGTAGTATGTACAGTAGTGTGTGCCCATCATAGTACTATACATTCATGAGGCACGAACATTTGGTTCCCATATTTGACAAAAGGCATTCATATTTTCTGTAAATGTGCTCAATGAATCAAACCTTTATATTAATTCTGACGCTTAGATGGTTAAATACTTTGAAAAAAATCGATCACTCCAGCCTGCTGTTGGTAAAGAAAATTACATCGATGTGGTTCTTTTTGTTTTTTTTTGTTTATTTTTTATCATGCTCCTCCAACATAGAGAGCAAAAAGCTGTTGAAACCATTTAATTAAAAACCAGTAGCAATTGAAACCTTGAAAACACAACAACCAGAGTTGGCCCTTTACATTTCACACAGTGTGGGTATGCATGTACAGAAAGATTTGCTTTATTAGTGGTCTGAGACTACAGATTACTAAATACAGGGGAAAAACACACCAAACCCACTAGTACTATATTTAATCCCAGACAACAAATAATTGTTGGGAATGTTACGGCTGTTAACACTCAAAAACCATTATTTTTATACCAGTTAGCTTTTTAGCAAACTGTACAAGTCTCAATTGTTTTCATAGTATGTTAACTGTCAACACTATCATAAAGTAACTATTTAAAGGGTCTAGAAAGTGCTAAGAGAATGTAAAATGCAACTTTATGTCTAAGCTCTGTCCCCACAAAAAGCTTTGGAAAGTTTTGGAGCAGCAAATGATTTCGATTCTCCTGCTACAGTAACTACTGTACATCTCTCCTCCGGTAGAAAAATGACCAACCTATGTCAGTTTCAAACTGTTGAGAAGTGAATTCTCAAGGTAGGACTGAGTTGGAGGACACTCCCAGAAACCCAAAGTCATCAGTATTATTGACTGAGAAAGACATGTCAGTTTGAGCAGGCTCATCAAGGTGTCAACTCAAAACAAGACTGGAATCTACGAGACAGCCCTGCAATAGCTTGTTAAAAGTCTATAAATTAAAGTATGAGAAATTAGTGATGGTCATTTATTTGTTGTTGTTGTGTTTGTTAAAGAATTTGTACCTTCTAGTCCCTTTAAGTTATAGTTGGTATCTACAAGCCTGACTGAGTGAAAACTGGTGTTCAGTGCACATATTCATCATCACTTATGTCTGAGTCGTCGGCCTCCACCTCTCCTTCAATCACAGACTTCTTCCCTCTGCAGCAGGACACCACCAGACCAATGAGGAAAGCCTAAAAATTATAAGCAAGGCACAAATTAGGGAAATATTTCACAAGGGTCATTTGATCGATAGAATGCATCAAGAGCACCTAGGAAAGAGGTTATTAAATATTTTTCTGAGGAGATTAGCTTTATGGAGGCTTGAAAAATCATTTTCCAATAACCTTTATCTGAGCAGAAATGAAATTACATGCTCCTGCTTTCACATTCTTCCCTGAAGAAAATATTCTTGAAATGCTTTTGAACAAAATTAAATGTTTTATATATGTTGTTGTTGTAAATGACTTACTGAACAAAGGATACAAAATCTCTAAATGCAGTTTTTGACCATATTTGCCAAATAATGAGCAAAAAAAAAACTGAACTCTCATTTTATTTACATCACTGGACTTACCACAATAAATGCCCAATTACCAAAGTAGTACATGGTGCTGAAGAACCAGAACTTGTGGAGGAAAACATAGGATCTTGTCACAGTGCACTGATCTGAAAGACATACATTTATTTCCTTTTCACCAGTCATGTTTTCACATAGAGAAAATATGTTATCTGGAACCAAGTGGAATAGCAATTAGTTTCCACTGCTTTATTATTATTATTATTGTTGTCAGGTGAAAGGTTTATGCATGATAGGCAAAAAATAATAATAATAATCACACACACACAAAAAACAGTGTTCAGTACAATGCGAAATACACAACAGTGGTAACTGGCCACTGGGATAACTAATTTTTCTGTCCATCATCCAGAAAAAAACTGCACGAGTGCAATAAAATGAGGCCAAAAACAGGCTGGGGTTACTACTAGGAGCAGTGCCTCAGGTAAACGTGTCACTATAACTACAAAAGACAACCAACCTTCTCAAAAGAGGAAAGCTATGTCACTGTCAATGTGAATATGGCTTAACCAATAAATAAATCTGGAATGATGTAGCATTTAATTGAGTATTAGACATTAAAAAGGCAAAAGGTAAAAGTACAGACATGCAAGAAGACACCAACAATTTGTGAAGAGAGTGAACCCTAGGTCATGGGTTATGTATGTAACCCAGATTCTCTGTCCCAGCACGGACTGTTCATACCCCTACCCTCTGGTCGGAGGCTCAGGAGTGTGAAATGCACGACCTCTAGACTGAAAAACTCTTTCTTTCCCTCTGCCATCAGATTTCTAAACAGCTGACTCACGATCTACCTCATGTAATTCCATCTGTACAGTTTACATACTCATTTTGCACATGCACTATTGCAAACCCACTGCTGAGTATTTATACTCATTTGTGATTTTACTGCCTAGTTAGATTTGTGTTATTGCTCATCTACCTTATATTTCACTTGTATTATGTGGCATTCATGTGGACAGCAAAGAGGAGAATTTCATTGTACAGGGAAACACGTTTCCTAACTGTGCATATGACAAATAAACACTTTAATCTTTGACCTGATGAGGTAAAGTAATGCAACGTCACTCAGGAGCTTGTCAGACTTTCCAGACTATTTTGTGAAGCCTTTGCAGTCCTACAACTAAAAACAGCCGCAGCCATAAATAAACCAGTTAAGACAATATCCTGAATTCAGTTGAATTCAGTTTTATTTGTATAGTGCCAATTCACAACGACAATATTCTCAGAGCACTGTACATAGTAAGGTCTAGACCTTAGGCCCGTGACACACCAAGCCAACGGTTGGCCATCGGTAACCATCTGTCGGGGCTCGTCTTCCCTCTGTGACCCACGCCATTGGCACTAATTAGACCCTATCCACAGCTATTCGGCCAATTCGTTATGTTGAATCTGGGTTGGGTCTCACCTGCGAGACAGACCACACTAATTGGCTGTTCAGCTAAGCGAATCAAGAAGAGAAATGTTTGGGAAAGCCCCTTGAGCCTGTCTCTGTAGTATCCACGATTTCACCTGTTTAGTGGTATAACATTTGAGTCTTATAGACTCTAGTTACTTTATAAGCTTTAGTTACTTCTCATAACTCTAATTCCCTTTAGTTACCTTTCATAACTTTATTTTCCTTGTTTATACATATTACAGCTGCATTGATTGTCCAGAACCACGGAGCTTTGATTATTTTTAATACATTTGTTTCCCTTACTTATATATCTTACAATTGTAATGAAGCAGAATCTGCCTACTTTGAATGCTGTAACTTCTGTGTAGAGACTAGATGTCTGTATCTCTTTGTGACCAGATAGCCTATTTACATTTTAGCAAAAGCTTGTTTTACACACACACCTCGACCCACTTAGCATATCCCAAGCTTTGCTTTGTCTTGGGATGTCCTGCAGAGGTCGGGGGCTACAACCTGAGATGACCACCTGGCCAGTTTAACATACTTATTGGCACCACACACACAGGGGGCCTGCAACTCAGGCCACCCATTGATGAGTGCACCTCGAGATCGAGATCAGGGTGTCAGAGACAGACACACACACACACACACACACACACACACACACACACACACACACCTAGATTTACCATATTTCAACATGGAAGTGTGAGCTCCGGCTCACCCCAAATGACCAATAGGATCACAAACTATTGAAGGTTGCACCCCTGTCCAGGGCGGAGCAGCCCAAAAAGATAAAATGTATTGTAAGAACTTAATTTGGGGTTCAGAGAAGTCGGATCTGCTGTGGGAGCTCTGTCTCTCTGATCCCAGCGCTGTAATGACTTCACTGTGCTCAGACTTTCAGTAAACGTTCTGGCGCTTCTGCATATGTTTCGCCTCCACAATCTCATTTCTTCATCCACAACCAAAAGACCAAGGCCACGTTCACACTGCAGGCTGAAGTGGCTCAAATCCGATCTTTTTGCCCAAATGTGACCCATATCCAATTTCCTTATGACAGTGTGAACAGCACAAATCAGATTTTTTCAAATCCGGCCCAGGCCACTTTCATATGTGGTCCTAAATCGGATACATATCCGATGTTTTGCAATGCAACTTCAGTCTGAACGGACGTCACAATTCTGCGCTGGAGGAGGTGAGGCCATAAGCAATATTTGTGCTCTCCTTCTTCTTGATATTCTTCTTATTATTCTTTCTTTATTTCGATTGCACATTAACTGGTACATTGCTACGCACATGCTATCACGAGCCGCATCCATTTTTATTTTCGCAAACACAGTACGCTGCGTCTGATGTCACGTCCTCTTCTGCGCGTGCGGGTCACCTCAGGGCCGTATACCGTTCACACAGACAGATGGCAGTCGCATTTAAATGACAGTGTGAACAACAGTGCAAAAAAAACGGATTTCGGCAAAAAATCCGATCTGAGCATTAAGACCTGCAGTGTGAACGTAGTCCAAGAGCAGACAACAGCAGTGCCATTTACAACTTCTTGTCATAAATGATCAGATATTCGATTAGAAGCAGCTATAAACAGCAGCTGTTTTGAACAAAAGGTGATTTGCTTATAGCTTACACGTGGGCGCTCTAGCTCTTCTTCTTTCCCTTTCCGAATGGCAAATACATATACCACCACCTGCTGGCAGGGAGAGTTATTTCTCCCATGCAGGCAGAGGACGTACGTGCTAGCTGGCCGCTGGCTGCAGCTTGTGCAGTGTGTTTAAATGCCACCTTTTCAACACGACTGGCCCAGACAAAGGCGACGTGAGATGAAGAAATAGTCAACCTATGTGGCTGCTACTCACTGGCTTGGTGCGTCTCTCCCCTTACAGTATAATAGAGAAAAGCCCAACAAATTCCCCTTGACCAAGCACCTGGCAACAGTGGAGAGGAAGTCCCTTAAATGGAAGAAACCTCACAGACCCTGGGTCTTGGTGGGCAGCTGTCTGTCAGTTTACCTGCAATGTCCTTGCCTTAAACGATATAGAAGAGTCCACTAGCAAAAAATTATCAAATTTTAACACTGTGTTTTTGTTTTATTTAGCCACAATACATGGATGAAAGCCTGAGTGTACATATAGTGAGGAGAAAATAAAAATAAAATGGAGTATTACAGTTATACACCAATTAGCCATTTAATCAACCAATTTGAATCTGACTCTGACCTCTATTGCTGCCATTATGAGGGATCATGTTTGAAAACTCTATTCTGTAGCATTCCTCAAATGACATTTTGTTGCTAAGCACAAGGACAGGTCACTCAGCATTGACTGAGCACATGACCATTAATAAAAACAACTCAAAACCAAAAACCTTAAGAAAGAGAACCACTTATTGCTTAAAAAATCCAACTGCTTGCTTTGTTTGTGCAGCAGTTTTTGCTTTTTGCTGGTGACTTTGAGTCTTGGTGCTCCAGTTTTTGACAGAACTGATGCTGCTATTGATCTGGCTGGCCTAGACTGCAGGAATAATAGAAGAATTATTAAGCTGAATCATTCCCCTTTATGTGCATGAATGGGTATTGGCAGCCATGGACAATGCTGACGACGTCAAATGTGCAAAGTGCCAATGATATGCGCATGAAGCCTGGGTCTACACTCAGTACTCCAATTTTTTATAATTTTTGTGTGTGTGTGTGTGGGGAAACAGGAAGAAAAATAATGCTTCCTTTAAGACCACGTATTAATTAGCTGAGCACCCTGAAGCAATAAAAAGGACAACTATTTCTATACACTACTAATCAGGCTTATATAATATTAACAGAAAACAGTGAAAATGAGAGTCCACAGAGCAAAACTGAAGACGAAATGCACTGTCTGGCTATGTTAGAGAGCCATCTGGAGCTTAAAAGCTAACCCTGCTGATCTGCTCCTATCACACTGTTTCTTACACAGCTCTTCGCCCCGACTTAAGCCCCATGAACAGTGCAATCAGACTTGTAGTAAGCTATACCTAGCCATAACTCAGTGTACGTCAGAAGTTATTCAGTACTGCTAGTATTTTTGAAACCTTCCTATTCCAGAGTGTTGATTTTTTTTTTAAGAAAAATCTAGGTCTGGGCCGTTTCATCAATAATAAAGATTAGACCAAGCGGACCCAAGGGGACCCTGAAAGTGTACCAACAATCAGCTTTTACTTCACCAGGATCAACAGATAATAGAAGAAGCAAGTCTATCTTCATCCCATGACCCCACTTGTTTCCTCCAGTACCTCAGCCATCTGTAGCTCTCCAGCTGCTCCCCTGAATTGCAGGGCACTGAGAAGGACTTACAGATGGTTCGCAACAGTGGTCTGCCTAAATATATTACCATATACATCACTGACCCGCTTCACCTTGAAATCATTACCACTGTCTAATAAGAGCAGGGGTCAGTATGTGAGTGCAGGTAATTTCACCTTAACTCATGATAGCTGGGTGAGTGCTGCCTTGTGTAGCATGATGCATTATGTATAACTTTCATCCCTGCATTCAAACACAACCCCATGCATAAAACCCTGCGCATACACACCCGCACATGGTGCTCTCTGTGAAAGCCTCTTTATCAGCAAGCACTCGTGTTTTCATACTGTATGCTTTTACCTTTTCTCCATCTAAACAGAGCACTTTCATTCCAATGTCCTTTGAGG